GCAACATGTTGAAAGCGAATGATGCCCAGAGCCATCTCTGGGGCGATGACAGCAGCAACAGACAGACAGACAGGGAGAGAGAGAGAGAGGGGTGGGGGGGGGGGGGGGGAGGGGGGGGCAGCAACAGGCATCAAGTGTCCAACATTATCACCATCATCATCATCATCTTCGGAGGCATCCGTGGCCGATCGTGATAGGCCCTGAAAACAAGGCGCTACAATTTGGCATTACATGAAAATTGCATTCGATATTAGCTGGAAAGGTAGACGACAGACCCGAAGCCCAAGACCCGGTTTTTGGGTTCCGTTCCTCTTTAATTAGATGCCGCGTCAACAAGGTGCTAAATGGGCTGCCATTATAATCGAGGCGTGGGCTGGGGGTTCCGAAAATGAAAGCTGTGGCCCCAGCTGTCGCTGTCGCTGTCGCTGTCGCTGTCCTGTCCACCCCAGGGGCATGCGTTGCTCTCCTTGTTCCGTCTGCTCCGGCTCCGACTCGGCTCCGGCTCGACTCCGGCTCGACTGTTGATTATGCAGAGGTGATAATTGCAGTGTCCGACGCGTCAAGATTTATTTTTTTCGATGCTTTAACGATGTGTTAAAATAAATTGCATACTTGTATCTCGGGAAGTGAGCAGACAATTGCCCCTCCCTCTCTCCCTCTCCCCCTCTCCCTGTCCCTCTCTCTCTAGCTCTGTGAAAAAAACCCACAAAACGTCGCGCCTGTGTACATAAAAATTTAATGGGCGCCTTGCTTCCCCCCCCCGCACATCAATCCCTCCTGTAATTGCAGGGCAGACTTATTAAAATATCAGAAATATCTGAGAATAAGGTGATAATGGGGACGCACACGCCCGCAGATCCGATCCTGCCGATCCAGAGATCCCCCCGCAGACAGAGACATGAAAATACTTTCTAAAAAATCGCAGATTTATTGCCCAATGAAAAGTTGCAATCTTTTCTTTCGCTAACGGTACGTAATTCAATATTCTCCAACATACTTTGCCGGTCCTTGGCCTAACCTCAAAAATCCCAAAGTCTGGTCTTCCTTCCAATGAATTTTGTAGGCAACCCAAAAAGGAGACGTTTTTTTTCGGTTCGGTTCGGTTCGGTTCGGTTCGGTAATCGGATCTTTGGACGAGGATATCGGATTTTTTCGACATTCGCCTGTTGCGTTTTTCTGCCTAATCAGTCGTGAATAATTTGCAGCTACTGTGTACGCCACAGCAGTCGGAGGATTGGACGATTGGAGGATGGTACGGTACGCTCTCCTTCCGCTTGGCTAAAGCGTGTCTGTGTCTGCAACATATGGTTCGAGCCATAAAAGAAGTCTGGCTCTGTCGCTGTCTCTGGCTGCACTTTGCAGTTCTTTTGGGTTCTGCTTTTCTTTTTTTTTGGGTGTAGCACGTGCTTCAATGCACATGACACCGAATCGCAACTGATTTTTGAATGTGGAAGATGGGCGGGGGATGACAGGAAGTGCTAAAGAGAGCAACAAGAACTCTTCTTCTAGACCATACCCCGATCCAATCCATCGATTCGCCCCCCCCCAACAACAACAACAACATTTCGCAGGGATTAGGCAAACCCATTGAGCACTCAGAATGCTCGCCTCGAACCTTTGTTTTAGTGCCGGGTTTTCCCCGAAATCCGCGCTCATCAATCCGTTCTGAATGCCACCAACGTTGACCATCAAACCATTCCTTGACCTGGCTATGGCGATGGCAGCTGCCACTACCGCCACACAAAGACTGTGCATCCGCCCAGCAAAGCACAAGCCCCAAAGAGTCACTTCCCCAAAAAAAAACAAAAAAAGAAAGAAATCGGCAAATCATAAAAGCTTCAAATTCTTAGAAATTTTTTGGCCACAGCCTAGAAACTCTATCTAGTCATTGATTTTTGTGTGTCGGCTTTTTGATCTTTGGCCGGTCGGATCGATGGATTGATCGGGCCAGGGATCCGACAGCTGCTCCTCCGGCTGCTGCCTCGAACGAGCGAAGGTCTCAAATCGCGAAAAAGGTTTGGAAGCTTGGGCATGCGCCAAACATTTGGTCAGTGCGCCCCAACTGTTTTTTTCAAGGCAAAAAAAGCAGCCACCATATAGATTGAGTTTGTCTACAAATATTATAATGCCAGGTCCGCCAGCTGGCGGTACGAAGGGGATGGGATCCGCAGGAAGAGCAAAGAGAAAAGCCTTGAATTTCCTCTAAATAGTTCCTGAGGGATACGATCGATGTGGTGCTCAATAGATTTTGCCACTCACCTTTTTAGTCAATAATTCTCCACTCTCTTCTATCTCCTTGCAGCGCTACTCCGGTCTACGAAGAACACTTCCGCACACATTTATTTATTTATATATGCACTGCACACTCTTGTCCTTTTTCTACAATATTTACAAACGCACTGGAATAAGCAAGAAATTCCAATAAAAGCACAGAAAATATCTTAAACACACTCCCACCACACTCGCATATTTTGCTCTGAAGGCAAAAGAGAGAGGGAGAGATAGAGAGAGGCATTACCAATGTTTGGAACAGCAGTGTAAACTGTAAAGAGAGACGCGCGCTCATTCCTTTTGTATGTTCTTCTTGCTGGAGTGGGAAAGAGACAAAACGAGGCGCCTTTTATGCACAATTCACTCGCAAAAAAACAAATGAAAAAAAAAACTGCGACGCAATGGAATCGCGGTCACGGCACTCCTTCTGATTTTAGGACACAAACAAACATTAATTAATGCATAAAATAATATTTGTTGTTCATTTCCTGCACTTTCAAATTGTCTCGCATAATTATCTCTGCAATCTGGCGCAGGGGGGCCGGCACGGAACTTGATCCCGCACTTTTTCTAGTATTTAAATACGATTTTTCGACATTTTTACGTTTATTCACTGCAGCACTTGATTGCACACATACGCAAGAACTTTTCCCGTTTGATTTTCACCATTTTCCGCACTTTTCTCGACCTGAATCGCGGAGCCGTCTTGAAAACCGCGCGTTTTTTCCGCTGGACCGTGGGAAGTGGAAACTTTGCGAGAGAGCGGTACAAATGCAATGCGTAGGTGGCTTAGGTGCGCGTGCTCGCTCATTCCATGCTCTCTCCTTCTAGGCTTGCTCTTCCTTATTGCGTGCACATTCCATGCTCTCCGTTTGCGTCTTCTTCCAACCGCCCGCTCATTGAAATTTGTCATCTCCGGCGCGAACTCCTTTGGTCAAGGGATGGTGTGGGGAGAGGAGATCGATCGAAAGTGTGTGGCTGTGGGCACCTGTTGGTGCGAGTGGGATGGTGCAATCATTCCATGCTCTCCATGGTAGAGGAGGGATGCAATTTTGCCTGTAAATAAATGTGGAATTACAGTTTCCAATGCAATTTATTTAACAATATTTTTTGTCTGAGATCAAATTCAATCTATGCACATATGTTCTAATTAGAAACCTCGATGATTTTTACATTCTTGATGATGGAGGCCTTCTTGGGGCCACTCTGGACAGTGCCGATAATCCAGGCCGGGCTGCCACCATATTCATCAAAAAACTTGCAAAAGGCAACGGCGTCATCACGTGGCATGCAGATGAGCAGACCACCGGAAGTCTCAGGAGAAAGTCCCTGCAGCAGGGGGCTCACACCGCCGCCGGCGGCCCCTTTGGCGGCAGCTACCGTGTGTTTGATCACCGGCAGAGTATCAATGACAAACGACACTGGCTCCTTTTGGAGCAAAGCCAGTTCGTTGGCATGGTGCAGGATACCCAACCCGGACACAGCCATGGCCCCATGGGCATTGTGCACGTGCATGAGGTTAGCGGCCTTGCGATTGATTAGACACATCGAGTGGAGGGCCTGACGATAGGCCACACGGACATCATCCTTGGAGAGGAACGAAGTGTAGAGGTCCCAGCGGTTCAAATCATAGATAGACTCATACGCATCGATGGCCACCTGGGTACCCAGAGCCTTGGTCAGCACAAGGACATCACCATCCAGAGCGTTGTCGCGTGCCAGATATAGGTGTTGCGGCCAGTAGGCCGAGGCCAATGCGCCGACGATGAAAGTGCTATTGGACTTGTACGAGGCCCAAGTCTGCACCCCGTCGGTGTGCATACAGCTCTCCCTGAAGCCGTCCGACATAATCGAGAACAGCCCACTGACCATGGCTTTGCTCATATCAGGGGGCCTGCAGAAGAGCATCATCGTTTTCTCACAATCCGTGATGCCCTTGGCGCAGAGACTGCCGACTGCCTCGGCGAAAATGATCTTCCCCAGGACGTAGGGATTGTCAATCATCGGGTACCGAAACTCGATGGCCAAGTTCTGGTCCTTTCCACCGCGAGGTTTCTTGCTGATTTCCATTCGGCGTAGCATCTCCTCCAGCTCCGTTTCCTGCCGCTGTCCGCCTGGGGTGGTGGTGGAGGCGGGGCCATGGAGCAGCTCCGCCACCACGCTTTCGGGTACCTTGCAGCCGGAAAGACTCAAGCCAAGGCTGGGGTTTAGATGGAAGGCCATTGTAAAATTTAATAGGCAATCTCTAAATTTTGTTTCCTTTCACAATCAGAAAGCGTTTGACAGCGTTTTGTCTGTCAAGTTACAGGGTTGCGTAGACTAAAATGGCTAACAGTTCCTGTTAAAATGACGTTTCGAATGGACCTTATCGATAGTTATTATAACTAATATACATATATATCATTCCTTGTCAAACAATCTTTGCATTTATTTTTTTTTTAATGTTAAGAGCGTAGACTCGTCAGTTTATTGGATGGAAATGGGAATCACCCACTACGGCAACCTGACGAGACAGGGCGGCTGAGTACAAGGCCATCCTTGAAGCAGGGAATGTAGATCTGAGGCTGTACAGGTGCAAATACATCAGACATGACACAGTACCTGACATTATGGGGCGACATTCCAAGCTGTTTTTCATGGCGCCACTGTTTGAGAACACATGTAACTTTGGGGTTCGGAGGATACATGATAGGTGCGTATTTTACCCGTATGAACAATAATTTGAAACATAATTTCCATATTGCCATATACTTCTTACTTGGATACAATTTTCCAATTTAAAGCCTTAGAATAGTAGTTTTTCAGAGCAGCAGTAGGGGGATTTACACTCTAATAAAGGAAATGTACGTACATATAGGCATGGCATACGATTTGAGGGGGCATATAAAAAAGGATAGCTATATAAATATCATTGTGTTGTTGCTGTGTGTGTGTTCCGCATTCGTTTGTTTTAGGATTCAAAGGTTAGGTGGTTTCAGTCCCCACTCTCTCAATCTCTCGAGTGTTCACATAAGGCGACCCATCCAGTCGGTCAGGGTATTCAGTTCCTTCTCCTTGGCGGATGATTCCACAAACTGAATATTCTGCGAGATGTGGGCAAATTCGAAATCCCTGCCGGGCTTGCCCAGGGTCACGGGCTTATTGACATCATCGTCGCCCACGGACTGTAGCTTGCGGCTGCGTGTGTCCCGCACGGTATGCAGCTCCTTTTCGAGGAGACTCTTGATGACCTGTGCACTCTTGGCCGTTGTCTGGTCCTGTTTGTTGCATAGCACCAGCACAGAGCAGGGCTGGGTGGCGCTATCCGCCAGAATGGTGTACAGAGTGCTGCAAGGAAAGAGTGTCAATAAGAGAATATCTATGGACTATGCTATGGAAGATCTTCAGCACTTACTCTGCCACATCCCGGATATCCTTTTGCACTGTCACCGAGTCCACGACAAACACAATGCCCTTTGCCTTGTGCTTGTACAGATCGAAGCATTTGTCCCGCACGCGATAGTGTCCGGGTATGTCCACGAGGCGAACGGATGAGTGTCCACCCGCCTGATAGTCGCCCACATTCTCCTTGATGGACGTGAAGGTCTCCGGCAATTTGCCATGCAACAGCTGCATAAATATGGCACTCTTGCCGGACTCACATAGCCCCGTTAAGAGAAAGTCCCTGCGGCCGGCCGAACGTCGTCGCAGAATGACAAATATCGCTGCAAATGGAGGAAGAATTGGAATTAGCATTATTTCTGGGTGCAAGCCACGTGGCCAACTCACCCACAGCAATGAAGCCGAGCAGCAGGGCCACCAGGATGGGCCCCGAGTCAATCTCTCCCAGCTTAATGTGCTTCTTTTCGCGTACATTTTCATTTAGTTTGTCCATTTTCGTGCAAACAATCCGTTTCTGGGGGCAAAGTGACACGCACTGACCCTCAGAAATATACCGAAATACGTCACAAATTTCAAAATATACTGACAAATTATTTGTATTTAAATTCCATCATATCCTCGATTTTGATATTCCGTCGAATATTACTAACTAGCTAAGACCCTCAGGGCTGAACTCATAGTTTTATCCAATTATTAAATCAATATCCTAATAAACCTCAGTTGTCCACTTTTGAACATGCCTTTTTTACGAATTTAAAAAAAAAATTGAGATTTTGATGGCAAACGATCAGGAATTCGATGCTGATATCCGATGTGGCTAGTGACATGGCTCTAAATAGCGTTACTACACGATTTCTACATTGGTGCATTGGACAAGAGGGTGAGTCCATAACGCGTCTTAAAATATACTGGAAAATACTAGAAATAATATGAAAAGTAAAAAACTTTCAAGGTGTATGACCTGGACACGATGGTGGCACGAAAATCAGTGTGACCTCGGACTACTGGAAGCTGTCAGCTGCCAACGTCAAATATTGACGCGCGCAGCTTGAAATTTATGTGAAAATACTTTTATTTCAGAGGTTTAAGGTTTAAATCGTGGCCTTTACGAAGCGTTTGCCAAGCATAACAGAAAATTTAATGTATGTCGAGCGCCTTCTATATATCCATTGCATTTAAACGCACAGTTTTGGTTCCTTGGGTCCATCCATTCCACTCCACTCACGCATCGCGCTTCATTATCATATTGTAAATCAAACGAAAGGTAACATTACAAGAGAATGCCCAGACGGGCACCGAAATGGCATTGTACACGCCAGTGGGAAAACTCAGGAGGCCCGTAAATGGCGCCAGGCTGATGCGCAAGTCGATGACTATCACGGGTGTGCTGCGATTCAGGATGCTGACAACGATAAGGATCAGGGCCAACAGTACTTTGGATACGTAATATGCCACCGTATCGATTCCCATCTCCTTGAAGGCGTCTATATTTTTGGCCGACTTGAATTTGGCCTCTGCATCGGCGACTTTCCGTTCCGCGCGCAGAGTTTTAATGGCCTTGACGTACTCCCCCGAATGTTCCGCATTGCGCACATTTTCCAACTCCTCCCGGGCAGCATCTATCTCGGATTGCCACAGCCGTCCGTCCGCTCGGCTAGTCTTCCAAAAACGTGACACTTTCAGCTGTGGAGGGAAGGGAAGAGAAGACCTTTAGTCGCCGCCGCCGACTGTTTTCGGACACAACGTTCCGTGCGCTCTTTTTGGATGACTTACGTAGTTCCGTATGAAATCTGGCAGGATCGTGTTGATAAGACTCAGCAGGGCTATAAGTGGTAATAGTTCCATCGCTTTGTGTCAGATTATGGCCAATGATGGTGAGTTTTAGTGACCAAATTAAAATATATGTCTGAAAATAACAAAGTAGTTTTAGCTGTGTTGGTAAATGACACAAAATCTAAAACAGCTGACTTTTATTCAAAAAGTTGGCAGCGCCCTTTCTGTCTGTCTCGCTCTCTCCCACTATCTCAGAGCCGGCAAAACAAAACACACATTTTTTTCTGGGAGAATTTTCTTGAATGTTCCACAAGAAATGACTGATTAGCAGAGGAGCAAATGCAAAACCACAAACATGGAAGATAGCAACGAAGAGGTAAGCCTTTGCGCAGTTCAAAAACATATAATTTATGATTGATTTCTCGCTAGATTGAACCCTGTCGTAGCATTGGGCCGCACGAGCTGGACGCCGTAAAAAGTCAGGCGGTTATAAAATTATCGCCCGTCCAGCTGCCGGCCCATTTCAAGCGCCTAGAATGCAACACGAATCTGAATCTGCCACCCCTCAACTGGCTGACGACCTCCCACAGCAGCCACGGGCTGCACCAGGCTCTGTATCAGAGTGCTGGCTTCGCCAGCTTCCGTCTGGGCCAGATGTTTCCCGACTGTGTTGGCGAGGTGGATGTGGTGTCCGATGCGGAGAACATCAAGCAGTTGCTGAAGCTCCCGTACAGTGCCCAGAGCCCCATTAGCATGGTGGTACACAAGGTGGGCAACACCCTGCTGCTGGACGAGTTCGATATACAGAAATATCTGCTACGGAAATCGGATGATGACTGGAAATGGCTGCGCACGTTCATCCTCGAGCACATCTTGTCGTTTGGCGACAAGCAGCACAACTACTGCCTGAAGGAGCGCAATCGGGAGGCTCTGCAAACAAAGAATCTGCTCTCCAAGTTCCTGTATCACAGCCTAAAACAAACCGGCGATGGCGGAGAGTATGATGTGCACACAACGCCCACGCAGTTGACCAGCAGACGCCAGGGATTGCCCATCACGGGTCCCGTGCTGCCAGAGCCGAAGATCGAGGAGAATGTTCCCGATCCCAAGTCCAGTCATGCGTTCAACCGGAACGTGGTGTGGACCTTTGAGGATATCCGTATGCTCATTGGCACCGACATGCCCATCTTTGGAGGGCCCAATCGACCGTGCATTAGCCTCCGCCTGCGCGACGCCGCCCAGCCCATAAATGTGCTGACTGGCATCGACTACTGGCTGGATAACCTCATGTGCAATGTCCCCGAGGTTGTGATGTGCTACCATCTGGATGGGATTGTCCAGAAATACGAAATCATCAAGACTGAGGATCTGCCCTATCTGGAGAACTCGCAATTCTCGCCGCAGGTGGTGCGCAATGTGGCCCAGAATATATTGGCCTTCCTCAAGGCCAATGCCACGAAGGCCGGCCACACCTACTGGCTGTTCAAGGGACGCAACGATGATGTGGTCAAGCTCTACGACCTGACCACTCTCTACCAGAACCAGACGACCCAGGCCGCCGAAGAGTCTGAGTCGCCGCCGCAGCAGCAGGTGAACCCGTTTACCGTGCCCGTGGGCATGCTGCTCTATTCTGTCGCTCGCAACATGAAGAACACGCTGCAGCACATCAGCCCCAGGACGGCGGGCAGCATACGCGCCCTGCTGGACAACTGCATCAAGCTGTTGCCCAAGGAGCAGTATCCGCAAATTGTCAGCTCCTCGCACTATATACTCTCCGACCTGCATGTGCCGGCTGGCATCGATCCCAAGGCGCCCAAGTTCGAGGATCTCGACTCGGACACACAGTCGCTGTACGATGATGATGAGGAGGACGAGGAGGACTATGACGATGAGCCCCTGGACTGCGATGGAATCTATGGCAGTGACAAGTACTATCAAAGTGCCGAGCAGAGCGGAGGCAAGGCCAACGTGGCTGTGAGACACATTTGCGATGCTCTCAGGGAATTCAAATCGCACGCCAAGAAGTCCAAGCCGGCTCCCCTGCTCGCCTCGACAGCGGAACGTTGCACCATCTCGCTGGAGCACATCAGTGCGGGCATCTCCTGTCTGCAATACTTTAATGGCAATCAGGAGGAGAAGCTCAAGGAAACGGAGACGATTGCCAAGCAGGAGGAAAAGCAGCGCATTCTCCATGAAGAGCAGAATCCCAATATGGCCAGGCCGTTCAATGCCATACCACTGCCATATGAGCAGCTGCAGCTGACGCAGGCACAGTCCCAGTCCCAGACCCAGACCCAGTCCCAGTCCCAGTCCCAGCCGCAGGCAGAGGCACAGGCGGAAGCCATCAAGAAGCCCAACGCCAAGGCCAAAGGCAGCAAGTCCAAGGAGCTGGCCACCACCAATACCAGTACCACAGATGGAAAATCCTACACGCAGCTCAGTGCCAAGTTCAATAGTCAGCATTTTGGCTCGTGGAATGTCCATCTGAAGCTGCTGCTGCTGGAGAAGGCCTGCCTAACGGGCGCCACACTGGCGGAGCACCACTACGAGTCGCACCAGTACGGCTCCACGCTGCGATCCATTGAGCTGGCCTCTCGCTGCCAGCAGGTACTCAACAAGTACATGGCCAATGTGGTCTCACAACAGAGCTGCCTGCTGGGCCGAGCCGGCGACTGTTTCTTTCAAATGTCCAAGAACTGGGAGGCCATCGATGAGTATGTGCGCCAATACGAGGAGCAGGACGAATCGACCCGAGTGATTGGCGAAGAACTCTCACTGGAACTGGGGGAGGAGGAGGAGGAGCAGCTGCCTTCGCTGGCTCCCGTCAAAAACGTCGAACAGGTGATGATGGACAGCTGCAAGTGCTACGAACTGGCCCTGGAGCATGCCCAAAAGGCCGAGAGCAATGAGCTGCTGCGACGATTGGGAAATGTTCGAAACGAGCTGGGTCTCAAGTACATGTACTGGGCACAGGGTGAGTTTTTCTATAGAATACTGCTGGATATCTAACCGAAAGCATGAATGTACATTTCAGAGGAGTACCGCGAGGTTGTGGAGAAAAAAGAGGCCTCGGAAGCTGCCGGAGATGATAAACAGGAACAGGATAATGCCACTGCCGAACCGCTCTACGTTAAGCTGACTGTCAATTCTTATGACTGCCTGCGCCGTGGCATCGAGGCCTTTACCGCAGTGCAGGACAATGTTAATCTGGCCTTCCTTTATTGCAACATGGGTAGATTTATGCGTCTGCGCGCCCATCTGACCATGCCCAATGAGAGGTGTGTACCGTACCAGCTTGAGTCCATTATGCATATATTCTATATCTATTACCATTCGCAGTGCCATTACTTTAGACTCACAAAAAGCCTTTTATAACGAGGCCTTCAACTATTACGAGAAGGCCAAAGACTGCCTGGACACGCGTAAAGCGAATGCCGAGCTCTGGGATCTTGTCAATTGGGAGCTATCAACTGCCACCTTTACGCTAGCCAAACAGCTGCAGGACCACAGTGCAGCAGACAAGAACAGCCTGGTGGAGGCCTCCAAAGAGGTGCTCGAACTGCTGCAAAAGGCCTTGCGGCTGTGCGATGTGGAACATGCTGGGGCACGCCAAGTGCTCTACAGCTTTCGTGCTGGCTTGATACACAAAAGGTACCAGAACATTCAGAGATTGTAGAGATTTTGTATTTTGGTACTTAAAATCTCTTTCGTTTAGGATTGCATCTTTTCATTATTCGCAACTGCGTTCGAATGGCTGCTGCGATCTGTCGCAGCTGCCCAAATCCACGTTGCAGCTGTGCAAATATCACTACGAGAAGTCCACTCAAATCCTGGAGAGCCTCAAGGAGGTGGGCGACCTGCTGGTGGTGCAACTAGAGCGTATATCCCTGCATGAATTTCTGGCGGAACGTAAGTTTAACGAAATTAGTCCCACATGAATGTTTCCTAAGATGTTTTCCGACAGTTTCCACCCACTCTGCGCAGAAGATCAAGCAAATGCAAGCTGCTCTGGAGATTTGCTTGCAGTGCCAGACCATTTTTGGCCACGTCATCGATGCTAACAGCCAGGTCGATGACGAATTCGCCGCACATCTGTCACTCTTTGAGAGCCGCTTGCAGAATGCATTGAAGACGCTCACGAAGCTGCTGCTGACCGGCAAGGATCCCAAACAGCTGTCGGCATTGTACAAGCGCATGTATATGGAAACCTTGACTGGGAAACATGGGACAGGGGCCCAGCATACAGCAGCAGCAGCACGCGCTGCTGAAGCGCCACCAAAACATTTGCACACGCTGCTCGGCCGGCTACAAGCCATGTGCGACGCTCACCTCGCCGTGGGCTAGCCAAAGCGGCTGTACGTGTCTTCGAGGGGGTTTCATAAAGAACCGATCAAATCGTATGCATTGCATTGCTCGCTGTCTCTCGCTTGTTTATTAATGTATTCTGCGCTTAGCCCCGCTTGCCGCAACCGCAATCATCGCTGGTCGCCTCATCCACCCGGCCAACAGCGACGCCCATCTGCAGAAACGACACCAGCAGCATCACCACCACCACCACCATAGCCAGTTGTAGGATCTGTCAAAGCATCAACATTATTATCTTCAATATCACTTCAGTCTTCAAACTATAAATGTATGTGGCCGTATCGCGGTATATATCTCACCTTGCAGCGTCGTTGAGTTCTCATTTTGAGTGCGTTTGCTGGCCATGGGCACGGCGGCTCTTATAAAGTCTGAGGGTCTTGGGCCCAAAACGTGTCGCTCATCAAGATTGGCTAAACACACCCCCACAATCGAAGTCAGCTTCTGTTCAAAATTCTGTTGAACAAGAGCCAACAATCGCCACTACTGGATGCGCAGATATGCACAGAGGCCTTAGCTACGTTTCACTCTTAACTCTAAATACACTCTTAACCTAATCTCTTTTAGAACACTCTTTAACTTTAATGGAAATCAAGATCTGTCTCTGATGTACTCTTAGAAAATGGCTTTAATATTTAAGCTCTGTTTCCCAGTTTGATTATTACTTATAAAGTTGTACATCATTCATAAATTGAAGGCCAATAAAAAGCGTTTTAAAAGCAATGTTCCACCGTCTATAGGATGCTGATCCCCCAAGCCTTTTCCACTTCTAAACCATACATTATTCTAGCCAAGTGTTCCACCGCATTTGAGACAACTTTCAAAGACAATTTCCTAAAGTTTTACTCGAATATTATTGAAAAGCTTAGTGGGGCGTGGGGTTTTTATTGTTTATAATTTTATTGTAATTTTATCTGCACTTTTTTTGCTTTTGTATATAAATTCTACCAACGCAGCAGAAAGTTGAAGCCCAATGCCTTTTGCCATTTTCTGTGTCACCGACAAAAATGGTGTCACGGCTCGCATGGGAGCACCGTGGAGCCAATGTCAGCCAACAGTGGACAGAAATGCCACGAGTCACGAGTCACGAGGAAAAAGTGTTCAATAATGGGAAATGCTAGTGGTAGAAGCTTCCGACGAGTCATAGCTCGTTGCGTAATGGGCGGAGGGGGGGCTGGGGCCTCGTCTCCCACAGACAATGCCATAACCATAGACGACGCCTGCTATCTGGACCGCAGCCGAATTGAGAGCCAAGAGTTTTTGGCTCTGGGGTCTGGGGTCTGGACTGCTGCACACGTCGTCGGTGACGTCTTGAGATTGCTGCCACAAAGCGCAGAACGGGAGCTCGGAAACTTGGAAACTTGGCAGCTCGGGAACTCCGACGAGAGCCAAAATTGCATCACATTCCCCAGTCACGTAAGCGAATTATTATTGCCTGGATTTCCGTATAAAAACATACTATCCGAAGCAGTCAGGCATTAGTTACCCAGCAACCAGACAAACCCAAACAAACAAACCACAAAATGATGAAGTTCATGGTAAGTCCCCGCACAGCCAGCCCTCTACCGGAGCCCCAAACTGATCTAGATCCTTCCTCTGCTCCGCCCCTCAGTGCATTTTCATCTGCGCCGTGGCTGCAGTTTCGGCCAGCGGCTATGGAGGTCGCCGTGGAAGCTACGGCAGTGCACCAATTGGCGCCTATGCCTACCAGGTGCAGCCTGCCCTGACCGTCAAGGCGATCATACCCTCGTACGGCGGACAGCGCAGCGGCTATGGCCACAACCAGGGAGGATATGGCGGTGGCTATGAGGCGGCACCCATTTCTTCGGCCTACAGCAATGCCAACATTGGCAGCCAGTACTCCGGATCCGGCTATGGCGGTGCTCCGCCCGTCGATCGCGAGGCCATTGCCCTGGCCAAGCTCGCCCTCGCCGCACCCAGTGCCGGAGGACCCCTTGTCTGGCGCGAGCCCGCACGTCGCGTGCAGCCCGCCTACGGGCCCAGCAACTATGGTGCTCCCCAGCAGAGCTACGGACGCGGTGATGAGGCCCAGGGCGCTTCGGCGGCAGCTGCCTCCAGCTCAGTGGCTGGCGTCGGCAAGAAGGGATACCGGAAGTCATCCTATTAAGAGGCCAGAGGCACAACCACAGTGAATCGTCGTTAAGGAATCTAAGAATAAATGCAACGAAACATCAAGACTTAAACTATATAGAGTGTTCATTCGCTTGGGGGTTTTTTGGCTGGGTTCTGGGCTCAGATTTCTGTCTCATAGCTTTGGTTGGCCAAGAGCTGAACAAGCGCTAAAACGCTCTGGAAATTGCAGTCTGTCGTGACTTGAAATGAGTGCATAATCGTACTCGTATGAATGGAGTGGCTGAAAACTTCCAGAAAAGCTAAAAGCTGAAATGTTTTCAGATCTTCCAAAAACACCAGAGAATTTTCATGCTACGAATATGAAATTCCATTTACTGAATAGTTCTTCTAAGGTCTTTCCATACATGGATTATCCAGAACTTATTCTTGGAGAACACTGTTTCCAGTGCCTAGAAGCCTTTAACACTTATCCTCTAACCAGGGATCAGTAACAGTTTCCTTATGCGGAACTCTCATTCGAGTGCAGAGAGAACGTTACTCCAACGAATGTTCAAATAAAATGACAATATGTCAAATATTTGTATGGGGGGAGGTCTATGAAGACCCAGCGCGTTCGCGAATTCATTGAGAAAGTCGTGTGTGGCGGCGGGGGCTTGCTTGGGACAATCAGGCAACGAAACAATGGAACATCGCGTAACCCCAAGCGATTTTATAATGGCTCGCGACTCGAGACCTCCGACAAAAAGTAAATGGAAATCGAATACATACCCCAAAGGTACATTTGTATATAAATTGAGCAGTTATGTGGCCTGCATTGAAACAGTATAGCACTATAACGTTTATTATTATATATAACCCGTATATGTGCGGATCGTATATGGGTCACGTAAAGATCCAGTCTATTTTTCGCGTATAAAAGCGAGTGTTTCGGGCTAGGGAAATCATAGTTTGATTGATTATCCCACAACCAACAAAACTAAGCATTCACCATGAAGTACCTGGTAAGTAGTCCTGCAGACCCCTGCTCAAGGATCAGCCAGCTAATCCTCCTCCTCCCCACAGTTCGTCTGCATCAGCCTGGCCCTCTTCGCCTACATCAACGCTAGCCCGGTGTACGGTGGCAACCGCGGTGGATATGGCGGCGGAAACCACGGTGGATATGGCGGCGATCGTGTGGAGTACGAGCAAATCCTGGTGCCATCTTATGGCCGCGGACACGGCAACCAGGGCTATGATCGTCCCCAGATCCTGCGATCGGCTCCCTCTGGCTCCAGTGCCTCGGCTGCTGCCTCCGCGGCGGCTGCTGCCATCGCCCCTGGTCGCTACAGCCAGTGGGCCGTGCCCCGTTACGAGATCGATGGCAGCTACAACGGTCCCAGCCACGGACATGGCCGCGGCGGCTACTAATTCCTGCCCCTCAACGAAACGAATCGAGCCCATCAGACCTTTTTTCTTTGATCAAGCAGCAGCGGCAGCTATGCTCTGAGATTGGAAAATAAAAACGTCTTGAACCAAATGGTGAATGTTGAACAACAAAACAATACAGAGTTTTGCATATTAAGGGGGCCAGAAAAGAGGCTAAAGTATAGGGCATACTTTTCAGCGCCACATGGCTAAAATTGTGGCAGGGTATTATGATACTCTATACTCTATATAGTGCCATAGAGTTGTACAGGTTCATAGTCAGAGAAGAATAGATAGATCGTTCCTAGAAGTCGGGGGAGAATTCTTAATTTCTTATTTCATATTTCTTAAACAAGTCACTTGCTTTTTCTTATAAAATTCTACTGTAAAGTGTTCGGTAAAGGGGTTGCAATGTTCAGCTTAAAGAAACGAAATATTTTCGGAATATTTAGAAGAAAGCAGGTTCAATTGATATTACCTTCTCTTACACATAATCACCAATAGTTGTTCTATTCAAAAAACCCTCCCAAGTGACTCAACTTTCATGAGACACTGTCCCAAGGCACATGGGCCAGAGGCACTGCCACTCCAGACTTTAGGCACCAGCCTAAGCACGCAACGACCTGGCGAACACCCCCCATTGGAGGTCAGCATCCAAATTTCCCAGATACGAAGCTCGAGGTATGGGATGTTCTTGGTATCAGAAGGGGGACACAGCGCGAGACTTTGCAGAACGACAAAGTTCGGGCCAAAGCTGAAGCTGAGAAAAGACGGCAGAAACTGTGGGGAGCATCGTGGAGCTTGGAGCCGTGATAAATTCGCGGCGAGATCACGTCTCGAGTGCCACAATAATACTTTGCTTATATAAAGAACTGTGCGGGCCACTTCATTTGTTAATTGTGCCAACTGTGCCGAGCAGCTAGCGCCCCCCAAAAGACACAACAGACATTCTATAGCCATGAACACATTCGCTGTAAGTATACCGATGACTTCCCATTCCCGTTCGCGTTCCCGTTCGCGTTCCTCCAATCCAGACCAGTGGCTAACCTTCACGTATCGTTAACAACAGACTTTGGCGGTTCTCTTCTGCGCCTGCCTCATCGGCAACTGCCACGGAGGCTATGGCGGTGGCGGCCATGGAGGCTACGGCCAACAAGGAGGGTACGGACAGAGCTCCAATGGAGGTGCCGCTTCGGCTGCCAGCTCTGCTGCTGCCGCAGGCAATCAGCAGCAGCGTCCCGTTGAAATCATTGCTGGTGGTTCCCGCGGCGGCTATGGCGCTGAGATCCTTCGCCCCATTTCCCTGGGCTATGGCGGTCACTCGCAGCGTGGACCTCAGCACGGCAGCTACGGACGTCGCGGCGGATATGGACCCCGCTGGACTGTCCAGCCAGCTGGCGCCACTCTCCTGTATCCCGGCCAGAACAACTACCGGGCCTATGTCTCGCCCCCGGAGTACAGCAAGGTGGTGCTGCCCGTCCGTCCCGCTGAGCCCGTGGCCAAGCTGTTCATCCCGGAGAACCACTACGGCCAGCAGAGCTACGCCCCCCAGCAGAGCTACGGACCCCAGCAAAGCTACGGCCCCCAGCAAAGCTACAACGTCGAAGGACCACGATACTAGACGGTTGGATACTCCTCCTCCCCAATCCCCTTCTCAGTGTGGATTCGCTCCCGTGCAGCGCGAATAAAAAATACCAAAAGAAAACATAATCCCTACCAGTTTTGTTGTATAGTTTTGGGCGTACGGAAAGTGGGGGCACTATATCTTTGCTTCCGACTTGGGTCGGATCGAAGCAGAATTTCTGTTTTTATGCAGCTGCACGCAGCTGTGGCACTGGAAATTTGATTGCAACTTTTGGGGGGAATGTCTTTGCCGCGAACGTGCTGAGAAATTTGTAAACAAATTTGTTCAGTCGCAGAGTCTTTCGGTGAAAGAGTTCCATAGTCAAACTGGAACAGCAGGTATTATCAACGATTTACTGAAACTGGAACTTACGAATGTTTGAGCTATACAAATTCAATGTTTTTCCCAGCTTCTCTAACAGTTTCACCCAGTTCTTAGCCATTTATTTCCATCTTGGGAGACATTTTTCACCCATTTCTCTGACATTCTTCTTTTCCAAGAATCTTTGAATGTTTGCTGATTTTTGTGAAATATTTTCTGGTAGGTAAGCAAAGTCTTTTGCTGACTGGCTTACGTCCGAGCTGTGGGCCATATTGCCACCTTCGGTTGACATTCGAGTCGCTTGATGATTCACCAAGAGAATTCTTGACTTGAAAGTTTCGCAGTTCGGAGGAAAAATTTCCTAATAAATGTGCATTTTTCTTAATAAAAAACGGGAAATGTTGAGTTCTTTCAGGCATAGACACTACTGTACCTGTGTTCAAGTTACGGCCTTCAAGCCCTCATGATAACCACAATCAAAGTTGAACCCGTAACACACTTGGATTAAGCCTCAAGGGGAGGAATAGGAGTTCCGGAATGAGAATCGGAAGTAGCCTATCCACAGACGGATAAACTACGAATGGAACGTCTAAGTATGCATTCCAGGGCAGGTTTATCGGCTGAAATTAGAGTCGAGGCTCGTTCGACCGTTCATTGATCCGCAACCACAGCCACCCCACAATGATGCACGATGCGTACAGTGCAGTACCGTACAGTGGAGGCAGCCAGCGCCAAAGACCCGATACCGCACACACCAAAAGCGAGCAGAGCGTGCCGAGCCGGGGGAAGTTGCTATCAATGGGGCGGCCAGCTTCTCTTCCCGGAGGTTGTGGTAGTCGTTGCTGTGGTTCTGGCTCCGGCTCTGTCACAATTTGGCGCGCAATTTCGATGAGCATAGAAATTGGAGACGGTGGCGTTGGAGTCTCCGGGCCTTATCAGGCTGGACGGGGCGGGGGGGGAGAGGAGAGTTGTGGATGCTGGCGCTGCGGGGCTGTCGGGGCACCCCGAAAGTGCCGCAGTTTCGTCATGATCCGCCCCGTGGCAGTGGGCATCGACTTGGGGTTTGGTCACGTCTGGGCAGCACACGAATCGCTGGCCAACTCAAATGGTATTGCTATAAAAGCAATTTGGACACTCGCTGTGGCTAATTAGTTTCCGAAACAGTCGCTTCCTCGCACCAACCAACAAACATGTCCGCCAACAACATGCGTCTCCTCTGCCTGCTCTTGGCCTGCTACATCTCGGCCATTGCGGCCCACAGGCCCAGCTACCGCTCCGGTTCCGGCGGCTACGTGGATGTGGTCAGGGCCGCCGAGACGGCCGAGGCACAGGCCGCTGCCCTCACCAATGCCGCTGGCGCTGCCGCCTCTGCAGCGAAATTGGACGGCGCCGATTGGCATGCCCTCAATCGTTATGGCTGGGAGCAGGGCCGACCTCTGCTGGCCAAGCGTTATGGTCCCCTCGACGATCTCTATGCCGCCGCCCTGCCTCCACGCTCTTTCGTGGCCGAAATCGATCCAGGTGGGTTACCTCTAAACAAAATGTATAATCCGATGTATGCTAATGTCATGCCGTTCTCTCGATTGCAGTCTTCAAGAAGAGCCACTATGGTGGAGCCTATGGCCAGAAGAGCGTTACGCTCAACACTGGCGCCAAGGTGGCGGTCGCCGCGCTGAACTGAAGATCCCATGAGATCCCAATAGATCGAAACCCTTAATAAATAGTGATAACTTAAACATGTAACTGTTTTACTGCTTTTCTACTACCCAGCGGTGTTTTGCCTACGGTTAGGGCTTTAAGTATATTTTCCCACTGTTCCCACTGAGAGACAGGGAAAATTCTCATCCACGTCTTAGAACTCTTGCATTCTGGCTGTGATTGATCGAGTTTTGGCTACTTTGAACCAAAAGTCTGAGCTCAATCTGTAGATTTGATTTATTATCGTACATCTGGTTATATTAATCCAGAGATATTTGCTTAAATAGCTACCTAAACGCATTTTCTGTGGATCCGGTAACCATCTTTGGCATGCGATAGCTTTGAATTCTCCCCCTAAGCTCTTCAACTGAATTTTTAGATCACAATACGACAAAAAGCTTGCAAATCTATGTCCGTAGAGAAGTCGAAAGTCTTATTGGTCATTGATTCCGAATCGGTGGTCTTAACTCAAAAGTTGTTTCGTAGTTTTGTTCACTTGATCGCTGGATGCGATCCACATGGTCCGATCCAATAACAAAGCTACAGGGGTACAGTCGTTCATATTATGATTCAGATTAGTACTCCCACCAATGTGCGAATCATTTTCCACCCCATAAACCATATAATCCAGAGATCGGCAGCGTCCCATGCACAGGCAAAAATACACCTGTGACTACATCTCTAATGTAGAGACCTGCCGACAAAAAACATCTTCAAAAGTATGATTCTATCTCATTCTATTTCATAACATCTTCCCCATGCCTCCCCGCGTGCTCCCCTTATATGATTTTTCTGTTTCTTCCATTAGTAAAATTGATACATTTTTGTATAGTTTATTATTTGTTATTATTATGAATAAAATTTTGTTTTATTGCAAGATACAAAGTAAAAAATGTGAAAATTGCTCAGTTTGTGGTTTTGTAAAATCGAAAATGGGGTGTTGCGAGCCACACAGAAAATTTACCTACTAAACATAAAGTCAACTAAAAACAAATAGTAGAAGCGGTTGTAACTCTGGGTAAATCGTTGCGCATTGCTGCTTGCTTGCTAAATGGTTTTCCATATCCATTTCCATCTACATTTTCATAGTACATTTATTCATCGCCATATCGGTGATCTTGATCTTGATCTTGATATTGATTGATATTTTATTGAAAGCCAACAACTCTCTTCTCTGTCTCTCTCTATCTCTATCTCTAGTTCTAGGTATTCTTTTCGGAAAAACTCTTCCAAGTTTTCGTTGATTTTGTTTTTATTTGGTTTTTGGGTTTTCCAGGTTCATTATTTTAATTAAATTACATGAACTTCAAAATAGTATTATTATTATATAGATAGGATGTGTAGTGTTATGTATTTATAGTGTATAACCTATACGAGACCCCCCCGCCGATTCCGCCTTGGGGATCTTGGTGCGCTTCCACGGCGAGGAGATGGCAAAAAAAATTTAAATTATAAAAAACTTTCTCACGCAACTTCTCTGCTCTGAAATCTCATTGATCTTCCTCTCTGGTTTGAGTTTTGAGTAAATTAAAAAAAAAATGATCTCTCTGCTGTTTGGTGTTGGTTTAGGCTGTGATCCTATTCGGTGATCGTTCTTGTTGTCTCCTGGATGTACACCTGAGAGCCGGGCACGGTGGAGGTGGTCACGAATGTGCGGTGCTTGGCGCGGATCAGATTCAAGTTGGACTCGGCACAATCGGCACGATCCTCGGCGGCCTCCAGTTCGCGCTGGAAACGGCGCACACGGGTGGTGGTCTGCTGGGAGACGCCCTCCTGCTCGGACAGCTGGCGCCTGTAGATGTTGATCTTGGCAGTGGTCTTGTCGAGGGCATCCTGCAGCAGGATGATGTTCTTCTGGTCCTCCTCGCACTGTACGATCACCTCCTTGACGGTGCGCTCCTTCTTGCGCAGGATCTTGATGGTCTCGGCATGGCGACGCTTCTCCTCTTCCAGCTCCAACTCCAGATCGCGAATGCGAGCCTCCAGCTTGCTGATGATGCGCTTGCTGCCGGCAACGGCATTCAGCTCAACCTCTTCCAGACGAATGGACAAGTTCTAATCGAATCAAACACACATAAACGATAAGTAATGTTGGAATGTCCAAGATAGTCCCAAAGTACACGCTTACCTTGACTTCGACTTCCAAAGACTTCTTGATGGTCTCGAGCTTGACAATGCGCTCCTGCTCCTCGTGCACCTGCTCGACAACGTGCTTCAGCTCGACCTGGATCTTCTGGTAGCGCTCGTCGCTGATGCGCAGCTCCTTGGACACCTCCTCGTAGTCGGAGGCGACCACGGTCAGCTCCTGCTCCAGCCTGGACTTGATCGAGACCAGGTTGACATTGGCAGTGCTCAGCTCGTTGATGCGAGTGCTGGCCTCCTCGTACTGCAGCTCGACGGTGCGCTTGGCACGATTGGCGCTGTCCAGGTGGGAGCGGGCCTCCTCAAGCTCGCCACTGAGACCGGCCAGACGGCGCTGGGCAATGCCGTACTGGTCGAGGGTGGCCTGCAGCTGGCGCTGCACATCCTCGTAGTGGGCCTGGAGCTCGGTCAACTGCAGCGACTGCTTCTTGATCACCTTCTGGAGATCAATGTTGGTCTTGTTGGCCACATCCAGGGACATCTCCAGCTCGGTGATCTGGATCTGCAGCTTCTTCTTGATGCGAATCACCTCGGTCTTCAGACGGGTCTCGGCCTCAACAACGCGGGCATTGAGCTGCTCGATCTCGATCGAGGTCTGCTTGCTACAGGAATTCGCAAAAGGACAAATGAAACATTGCACACAGTTTGGAATCTTTTGGAAATCAATCGATATGGAAGTGCCCCCCAAAATGCGCTTTTCCTCGTGCTTTACCTCAATGACGCTCCCTCCGATGTTTCGCTTTGCTCGCTTTATTTTTGGCCCCAATGCTCTGACCCACAAAATACATTTTCCCAACACTCAGCACTACTTCTGCAAGCCACTCTGAAAACCACTCAGGTGATCAGCTTTTGGCATTGTCAAAATTGCTTCATTGTTCTTCTTGCTTCTTGCTTCTAGCTTCTAGCAGAGTGGCGATTATTTTTACGCTTGATAAAGACATCGAACTTGTCACAAATAGCTCGCGTTCACATGCCAAACTATTTGCTAAGTAGTTCCTTTTTTTCGGGGGTACACATGAGTGCATCATGTGTCTATTTTTAGCGGATAGGTAAAGTCTTCAAGATGCGTTGCCAACTAAATTTTGAGTAATGTTGGTATTTCTGTTATCCCAAATTTAATCATGAGGTAAATAGATTACCAGAACTAGAATTAGTTTTCATTACTGATGGGGGAACCTTATATATTACAAAACTAAACCTAAGAACCACATCCTTAAAGATGTTAATTCGATTTTATTTTTGGAAAATCACTTTCAAAGACAGATTTTTGATGGGTCTGTTCTTTATAATATCTACATAAACTACAAATTCCAATTCCACTTCTAGTTCTAGCTCTAATTCTTAAAAATCTGTGTCTCTTTGTCGTGCTCCGCCCACAATTCTACCCTGATCTGTCAGAGATCGAGATCGAACCGCACATTTTCCACTTTCACTTCGTGCTCTAGTTCAACTTCTAACGAATCTCTGTCTCTCTCTGTGATGATCCGCCCACAGTTGGACTCTCATCTGTCAGAGATCCATCACTCGGATCATCTTTTCATTGCTCTGGCAATGGGCCTCTCCCATGGTCCTAGTCTGTTGTGGGCCCCCGGTCTTCTGGTTACTTAATCTTAATCTTCTGTGTGCCCATTGCTGTCGCCTTGCCAAGGTATTTAGTCTGTGTGTGTTGAGTATTTTGCATTTAGATTTTCAATCTTTCCCCGTGCCATTGTTTTCAATGTTTATTTGTCTACGCAAATATTTATTTTCCTGCTTGATTTTATTTTTATTTTTTCGCATTTTGCTGTTTTGCTGTTGCTGTCATGCGCCAGAGTTTTCCTTGGTTTCAAAAATTAAATAATTCTTTCTTTATATTTTGTCGAATTTTTGAAGGACAGACCACAAAACAATAGTTTTTCGGGCCACCATTTACGCGTAGACAAGACGAAGAATCTGGCATCTGAAATACCTGACGTTGTGGGTGCGAAACATGATCATTGCGATCGGTGTGAAAATTTCATGATTTCTAAGGGGTTTGAGGTCAGATCACAGGGCACTTTCATTGAAATTGTATAGGGGAAAATATTGAATGTGCTTGAGAACAAGAAGATTATAATTTCAATATTGATATTTGAATCTATATGGTCACAAAATGTTATTTTCTTCTCTAAAGATAAAATAGGAACTACTTTGCTGTACAAAAATATATATCTAATCGTTTGAGAGTTTCTGAAAATGCCTATTTCTGATAGTTTCTATTTCTTGTGATAGTACGAGTATAGGTTTATGGTTATAGCTTAAGACTGCAGATCTATAAACCAAATTAAGCACTCTTAATATCTTTAAGATACGACCATCTGAACAAATATTTAGACCATCTGTTTACAGAAATAAGCGTAGGATCATACTACAGACGCTATCTTGTAAAATTCCTTAAAAATACCTATTTTGATCAAATAAATTCTCTAAAACTCTTCCTTATACGCAGAACAGTCCTATATTTCATATTTCGACATGCTCGATTTCCCATTTCGAGCGCGTTAATCTATCAGATCAGATCTGTACCCCATCCTATATCCCTTTTACTTCCTATAGATCATAATACTAATCATAATTTCAAAAAATTCTTGGCATTTCTCTGCAATTAGCCATGGGGGAAAAATGTTGTGCATTATTTTACAGAAATAATTCACACAAGATTTAACAACAGACACAATGCTATGCAAATGGTGAAAAACTTACATTAGAATGAAGGGAAAGAATGGGCAATCGAGGGGCGAGAAAACTTAGGAAACGAAAATAAATTGTGCAGACCAGACAAATAGAGAGATGTAGGAGGAGGAGGATGCAATCTTCTCAGCGATGAGCACGAAAATTGAGGTACAATTCAAAAATGTTCGCATTTATTCAAATTGTCTGGGGGC